GCCAATAAGCATATTGAAATATCCCTTTTGAATCACGAGCCATAGCAGTAAGCCCATGGCCATTTGTATCAGAACACAAAGACACATTAATTTTAACCGTATCCACAGGTGGGTTTTGCCAAAGAGATTCCTTGAAATGAAAGGCCTTAGATATATTGCCAGAGAGAGTAAAGATGGCCTTCCAATCATTGATAGAATTCGATAATTTTGGCCATTTATGACACACAGCCTCAACAGCATCCTGCCTCACCTTGAATATAAGTCTAGGCACATTAACCTGTTTCTCCCCAAATTTGAGCGAAGCATAATGAACCCATAATTCCCAAACAATAAAGGCAGGTATACACTGTTTCAATAATTGTCTAACTGTGGGCTTCTTAGAATGAATACGGGACCCCCACCAAATGTCAAGATATTGTTTGATAGTGGTACAGCCATGGTCCATACCAAACAGGTCACAAAAATAATTCCAGACAGCTCTAGCCACATCTCCTTGGGCAAACACATGTTCAGTTGATTCTCTATCAGGTTTAGTACAACAGTAGCATTTAGAAGGGAAAGAATGACCAAACCTGTATAGAATAGTATCCAATGGCAGCTTTCTAAGATGAACCCTCCAACAAAGGAAGGAAACCTTGAAAGGGATATGCTTATGCCAATAATTTTGTAAATATATGTCAGTTTGACCACTGGGCCTTAAGAATTGTTTAACTGCTTTCAAGGAAAACTCTCCAGTAGCTTTAGGTTGCCATATGGCTTTATCAGGAAATGGAGAACCAAACAAAGACAAGTCCACTTGGAAATGTATAAAGAAACCTGGGTCCATAAGTTGTTGAAGCTGAGCCAGGTCCAATGCCTTGTTCACAAAGTTTTTCAAAGGAACGAGCCAATATTTCCCCTGTGCTTGATTGGTGATCACAGCAAGTGACCCAAGGCCAGTCCAATTATCCCACCAAAAGCTTAAAGACCCATCATAAATTTTCCAAAGGATTTGTGGTTCAATCAAAGGTCTAATCTGCACCATTCTCTTCCAGATATGAGAATCCCCATGTTGCCAAGTCTTAGCCACTGGATGCACTCTCTGGCAATACTTTGCTTTCATAAATTGTACCCAAGTTGTATTAGTAGTTCTAAAGTTCCACCAAAGCTTAGCACTACAAGCTTGCACTATGTCTTTCATTCTAGTAAAACCCAGGCCACCATCTGTAGTGTTATAGCTCATGTGATCCCAGGAACTCCAATGATAATGAAGCTTATGTTCAGCTTTTCCCCAGAAAAAATTAGAGAAACTTTGTTCCATTTTAGCCAAAACACCCTTGGGAGGTTCCACAGCAGAGAAAAGGTGGGCAGGTAGAGCTTGTAGGACACTTTTAATCAAAACTTGTTTACCTCTAAAGGAAAGCAACCTCCCTTGCCATCCTTGACATTTCCGTGTCACTCTATTCAGCAAGTTGACAAAATAACAGCATTTCATTCTTCCTTTGTAAATGGGGCACCCTAAATAATAGAAAGGAAAGGCCTGGTGCTGGACTTGAATCAGGTCTGCAACTCTTTGAGTGGTCATAACAGCACTTTTTGGATGCATATAAAAGGAACTCTTATGAGTACTTATCAGTTGACCAGAGATGTGTTCATATAAATGAAGCTCCTTCATAATTTTAAGTATAGAATTCCTCCTCCCAGAAGTAAAAATGATCATATCATCCGCAAAAGCTAAATGACTAATGGGATGGAGTTTCTTGGGTTGTGTAAAA